ATCTGACGCCACCACGTGGAACTGGAAGGACTTTAATTTTTCAAAATCAAAACTTTTCAATGCCGCTATGTCTCCATTATCAGAGTTAATGCGTAGAAATGATGACACTTTATTTTCCTCGCTGCCATACCTAAGAATGTGATATGAAATTACAGCATTCTCATTTTCATCACAATCTACTGCTTTTACAGAAAACACAAAGTCTCCTGGGTTATTGCCTTCTCTTACATAAAAGGTATAAGGGCTGAGTGAAAACACTGGACTGTTGTCATTTACATCTGACACTATGACACTGATTGTCTTCTCTGATGATAACTGGGGATGACCAGAGTCTTTTGCAGTAATGGTTAAGTCATAATGCAACTGTTTCTCTCTATCCAGAGGGGACTTAGTTACTAATGAATACATCTTATCCTGTAAAGATGGCGACAATGCAAATGGAACATCCTCCTGCAAATAGCAAATAACCTTTCCATTAGGACCAGAGTCCAGGTCACTGACACTAATTAGGGCCACTGTAGTGCCAGGTTTGGAGTTCTCAGGGATGGAGCTTGAAAATGAGGTAACATCAATCTCAGGAGCATTGTCATTAACATCAACCAGCTGAATGGTGACACTTTTATCTGTAGTGAAGGGTGCAAAACCTTTATCCGAAGCCTCGATTTCAATTTCATACCTGTCCTTCTCCTCATAGTCTAAGATTCCTTTCACAGTTATCTCTCCTGTTAGGTGGTTAATGTTGAAAAGGTTAAAAATGTTTTGATTCATGCTGTTACTAAAAGAATAAACCACTTCTCCGTTTGGACCTTCATCTAAATCAGTTGCATTTACTTGAATAACTGTTGTGTCCGTTGGGACATTTTCATCAACCATCACAGAATAAGTGTCTTTTGTGAAAATTGGAGCGTTGTCATTCAAATCCAAAACTTTGACTAAAATGTTCATTTGGCCTGATTTTGGAGGTTTACCTCCATCCAGGGCCGTCAGTATCAACGAGTGGCTTGCTGCAGTCTCCCTGTCCAATGCTTTGTGAATGACTAGCATTGGTATTTTACCATCGTTCCCTTTGTCCTTAACTTCCAAACGGAAATGGTCGTTGTTGCTGAGTTTGTACTGTTGTACTGAGAAATGACCGCTGTCCGGATCCCGTGAGGCTTTTAACTGAAATCGCGCTCCGGGCAGCACAGACTCTGATATCTCTAATATCTTGTCTTTTTCCAAAAAGACAGGATCATGGTCATTTATATCCAGAATCTCCACTCCAACGTATTGAACTTCAAGTGGGTTTTCCAGTACGGTTTTCAGATTAATCAGACACGTACTGCTTTGCCCGCACACCTCTTCTCTGTCAATTCTTTTACTCACGTACAGGACGCCGTCGTCCTGATTTACATGAAACAGGGGCTCATCGTTGCTGGTCACAATCCGATACTTCCTGTCCTTAAGTGTGTTTCTATCCATTCCCAGGTCCTTGGCGATATTTCCAACCGCTGTCCCTTCGGTTATTTCCTCTGAGATAGAGTATCTCACTTGTGCTGAGGCTACGCTCCACAAAAGCACAATAGCCACGCAGCCGAACAGATATCCGCGGAAACCTCCGGACTCGTGTCTTCTTTGTTTCATGATTTGAATCGGAAACATCATCTACTCACAACAGACGGATGAAATCAAATAAATCCGAGCTAAATTTTGGGCAAAAACATCGTTCGTACCATAGATTAAATCCAATCTCTACGCAGTACAAGCGCTCAAACGACTCCCAAGGTCTAACAACGAATGCTGCCAGGAGGTGGGGCTACAGGGTGATGACGACAGACAAACGCTGACATTTTACATTGCACTGACACCGTGCGTTCTTATTTCTCGTTGCAGAAAGTGTGAAACCCGTTTATTCCTTTACCCCGTCACATATATAATGAAAAAAAAATCTTAAAACGAACAAAATACTAAAAAATGTATCAATGTATCCGAAGTATGTTGCTGTATTGTGATACTTGTTAGACCTAATGTAAACATAAACGTATGTAAAATACTGGAATTGGCCGCAAACGTTTTCAGCACCAGGGACAGTGAATTCCTAAATTCCTTCACATAAACGTCCTCATGTCGACGTTACAGGATAGGCGTGGCAAAAAATGGAACGAATTATGATCAAAACTGAAGTATCATGAGTGAATTTGTTATACAATTTGATTAAAAAAACCCGAGCTATGCAAAACCTATTATTACATATATATTGTGTATTAATGTCTCATTGTCTAAAAGCCAATGTGTACAAATGCCCTCTGTTGCTTTGAAAATGTTAGACCTTAACAAATGCCTTCATGTAAAATGGCAGCATTGGCATGGGGAAAGTGTACTGTAGATTCTCCGTTATCAACTTTAGACAAAAACTTCCAAAGATCAACCAGAAACACATGCCACAGTAAACGTAAACCAAAACCAAGCCAAAACAAACAGGGATTCCATATATTGTTCTTACCTCCCAAAAAAAAGGGGATTCCATATATTGTTCTTACCTCCCCAGGTGCGTTTCTCCTATCAGGAAGCATCAGTGTATTTGCATGACTTCCTGGGACTATAGTAGATCCAATACTCATCCTGGGTCCAACTAACATGTACCGTTTGTCTCCAGATCTGTACTGGATGCTGTGACACAATGTTCCATCATAGTTTGGCTCTGGTAGATATTTAGAAGTATAGTCTGTGGACTTGGAGCACTGCATTGCAATCAGCACAATGATACTGATGAGAAAAAGAGCAGAAACTGAGGCCAAAGTTATCATCAGGTAAAAAGTCACATCATTGTCCTCATCTGCTTTGGTTGAACTTTTCACATCAGAAGCTGCAAAAGCTTCTTTGGGCTCCACAACTTTGACAATCACAGTAGCTGTTGCTGACAGTGAAACGTTCCCATTGTCTTTCACCAGTATGACCAGTTTATGCTCAGCCTCGTCTGTCTCTGTGAATGGACGAAGTGTTTTGATCTGTCCTGTATATCGGTCCAAATTAAACAGACTGTGGTCAGAAACTTCCTGCAGTGAAAACAGTAACCAGCCGTTATATCCTATATCAGGATCATAGGCTCTGACTTTAGTCACCAAGTGTCCTGCGTCCACATTGCGGGGAATCTCCTCCACACCTTCAGCAGAACCATTAGAGCTGAGTGGATACAGAATGACTGGAGGATTGTCGTTCTGATCCAGAATGAACACGTTCACTGTGACGTTGCTGCTCAGTGACGGACTTCCTGAATCTGACGCCACCACGTGGAACTGGAAAGTTTTCATTTCCAGCACCGTTTTCAGCTGGATCAAACACGGGCTGGTTCGTTCGCATTCACCCTCCCGGTCTATTCTTCTTCTCACCCGCAGGATACCATCGTTTTGGTTCACCACAAACAAAGGTTCAGCCGTGTCCGTAACAATGCGATATCCCCTGTCCTTCAGCGCACTCTTATCCAGCCCCAGGTCCTTGGCAATATTCCCCACCACAGTACCTTCTTCTACCTCCTCGGATATAGAATATCTGATTTGCGCCAAAGCTCCGCTCCACAAAATGTTGAAAATCAACACAGTGGCGAAACAACAGGGTCGCACCCTCGAGGTTTTGCCTTCTCCTCTTTGTTCCATGGTTAAGGAAAAAAGAAAATGCTCCAGTAAAATATATCGTGTTTCACAGACCTAAATTACCATAGTCCTGAGAAGCGCAAGGTGAAGTTTCCGTTAAAAAACTGTCAAATTAACAACGCATGAACTGCATTTAGGTGATGTTAGCTTCACAGCCGTTGTTCAAATGCTAGTGCGACAGAGAGAGAAAAAAATCATGACGTCAAACATCCCCAAACGTAGAATAGTTGAACTACACCGACACCAAGCGTTGATACAGCGCAGACGAATTCAATAACATCAATAGAACCAAAAAACGGCTGCATCGTCACAAGTCAAAACAGATGTCAAATGAAAACCGCAGTCATCGCACAACAAATGTTTATTTTGCATTAAAGTAAGAAATAACCAAGATAAAATCAGAAGAATGAATGACTCCCCACGCACCCCAGCCTGGCAGTGTGAACTAGGTGGAATCAAAACCCAGAATATTCTGCAATGTAATCGAGGTGGCTAACACGGCGTCAATTTAGCAATTTAGCCAGCGTGATAATATTAAGGGTTGATATGAAAATCGCATTTTTTTTCAGTTGAAAAGCCATTGGATGAGGCTTCAACAAGTCCATTTGATTGTGCTGTTAAGACCCAGCGAGCTAAGTCCAACCTGTCAGAACCATGGACAGCGCACATCACTTGTGTTAATAAAACACTGCAACACGTATGGCTTCGAAGGTTGGCTTAAACGTCACTTTGATTAAAAAATACACTATAAAATAGAAATGTATCAAACACGTTTTGCATTAACAAATGTTTTCGTTACTCAGCTAACGAAAACGGACAATAAAGACATCCCACCTCTAAAATGTACGGTATACATTTTAATCTGTTTGGTTATATCCAAAAACAGCAACATGTTGACATGCCGATGTCCTGCTTCACCGTTAATTTTATATGTTGAAGAAAACTAAAGCAAATATCAAATACAGTAAAAATGTAGTTTTAAATCAACAAAATCAACACAAACAGAGACATTATTCTCTTAACCAAGATGCCAGGACAAACAAGCAGATTTTCCACAAAAAAATATCTTACCTCCCCAGGTGCGTTTCTTCTATCAGGAAGCATCAGTGTATTTGCATGACTTCCTGGGACTATAGTAGATCCAATACTCATCCTGGGTCCAACTAACATGTACCGTTTGTCTCCAGATCTGTACTGGATGCTGTGACACAATGTTCCATCATAGTTTGGCTCTGGTAGATATTTAGAAGTATAGTCTGTGGACTTGGAGCACTGCATTGCAATCAGCACAATGATACTGATGAGAAAAAGAGCAGAAACTGAGGCCAAAGTTATCATCAGGTAAAAAGTCACATCATTGTCCTCATCTGCTTTGGTTGAACTTTTCACATCAGAAGCTGCAAAAGCTTCTTTGGGCTCCACAACTTTGACAATCACAGTAGCTGTTGCTGACAGTGAAACGTTCCCATTGTCTTTCACCAGTATGACCAGTTTATGCTCAGCCTCGTCTGTCTCTGTGAATGGACGAAGTGTTTTGATCTGTCCTGTATATCGGTCCAAATTAAACAGACTGTGGTCAGAAACTTCCTGCAGTGAAAACAGTAACCAGCCGTTATATCCTATATCAGGATCATAGGCTCTGACTTTAGTCACCAAGTGTCCTGCGTCCACATTGCGGGGAATCTCCTCCACACCTTCAGCAGAACCATTAGAGCTGAGTGGATACAGAATGACTGGAGGATTGTCGTTCTGATCCAGAATGAACACGTTCACTGTGACGTTGCTGCTCAGTGACGGACTTCCTGAATCTGACGCCACCACGTGGAACTGGAAAGTTTTCAGGATCTCATAGTCAAAACTTTTCAGTGCTACAATGTCTCCATTTTCTGAGTTAATATTTAAAAACGAAGACACCTCATCTCCAGCCACACCTCTCATAATATGATATGAAACGACAGCATTGTCTCCTTCATCACGATCAGATGCCTGTACTGAAAACACTGAAGCCCCTTGGCTGTTATTTTCACATATATAAAATGTATAAGGGCTTGATGAAAACCCTGGGCTGTTGTCATTAACATCTGATATAACGATGCCTATTGTCTTTTTGGTTAGGAATGGAGGACTGCCTGCGTCTTTAGCAGTAATTGTAACGTCATATTGTGAAATAGCTTCTCTGTCCAGATGTGCTTTAGTCACAACAGCAAACATATTTTCCTGTAGCGATGGTGATAAAGAGAACGGCACGTCTTCTTGGATTGTACAAATTATTTTACCATTTATCCCTGAGTCGAGGTCGCTGACACTAATAAGAGCTACTGTAGTTCCTATTTTTGAGTCTTCTTTGATTGAGCTGGAAAACGACGTCACATCAATCTTGGGAGCATTATCATTAACATCAACAACATTTATCAATACACTTTTAGCCGTTGTCAGTGGGGCATTCCCCTTATCCGATGCTTTTATGTCAATTTCATAATTTTTGCTTTTTTCAAAATCAATTAAACCTGTTACAGTAATCTCACCTGTGTTTGGATCGATATTAAAGAGTTCCATTAATTTTGAATCAACTTCGTCACCAAATGAATATATAATCTCCCCGTTTGAACCCTGGTCCGAATCAGATGCATTTACTTCAATCACCACTGTGCCAGCGGGGACGTTTTCTCTCAGTGTAACAGAATAATCATCTTTCGTAAATACTGGGGAGTTGTCGTTAACATCCAGAACGTCCACATTTATATCAATAACACCAGATTTTGCCGGTTTTCCTCCGTCAATAGCTGTGACACGAAGATTGTGTCTTTCAGTGGTTTCTCTGTCTAACTGTTTCTGCAGAACTAGAAAAGGTACTTTATTGTCACCCCCTCGATCCCTGATTTCTAGCCTAAAATATTCGTTATGACTGAGTTTGTATTGCTGTATGGAGAGCTGGCCTACATCGGGGTCTCGAGCTGCCTGTAGTTGAAACCTCGCTCCTGGCAGTGCCGACTCGTAAATCTCAAGCCGTTTTTCTTTTTCGGGAAAAACAGGCGAGTGGTCATTGACGTCGAGTATTTCCACTGTCACATAATGGATTTCCAGTGGGTTTTCCAGCACCGTTTTCAGCTGGATCAAACACGGGCTGGTTCGTTCGCATTCACCCTCCCGGTCTATTCTTCTTCTCACCCGCAGGATACCATCGTTTTGGTTCACCACAAACAAAGGTTCAGCCGTGTCCGTAACAATGCGATATCCCCTGTCCTTCAGCGCACTCTTATCCAGCCCCAGGTCCTTGGCAATATTCCCCACCACAGTACCTTCTTCTACCTCCTCGGATATAGAATATCTGATTTGCGCCAAAGCTCCGCTCCACAAAATGTTGAAAATCAACACAGTGGCGAAACAACAGGGTCGCACCCTCGAGGTTTTGCCTTCTCCTCTTTGTTCCATGGTTAAGGAAAAAAGAAAATGCTCCAGTAAAATATATCGTGTTTCACAGACCTAAATTACCATAGTCCTGAGAAGCGCAAGGTGAAGTTTCCGTTAAAAAGATTTCAATTTGACAACGCATGAACTGCATTTAGGTGATGTTAGCTTCACAGCCGCTGTTCAAATGCTAGTGCGATAGAGAGAAAAAAAAACTCATGACGTCAAACATCCCCAAACGTAGAATAGTTGAACTACACCGACACCAAGCGTTGATACAACGCAGACGAATTCAATAACATCAATAGAACCAACACACAGATCTGAGTCGTCACCAGTCAAAACAGATGTCAAATAAACAACGTAGTCCTTGGGTGATAAGAAAATAAGTAAATATAAAAAAATATATAGACTGTAAGCATTTAAATGTCTATGTTCCAAAAAAACAAACAAACAAACAAAGAAATAATGACCCCTAAAACCATCCACCTGAAATTGGGAACTACGTGGAAACACACGAAATGACTAACATCAATTAACTGTTTAAACAATGGTATTTAAATATATTGTTCCGAGTGGAATCGCTTAGGACAAACGTTTCAGCACAATGGACAGCGAACACATCGCTCGCTTAAAACACGTCATGCAGTATTATAATTTCTTAATAGAAATCCATTGATAATCTGATAAGAACTTCAACAAAGTCTAGACAATATCAAGTAAATATTTTACTGTGCAGGAAACAAACCGTTTAAGATAACCAATCAGAGAGAGACTTTAAAACCATGTGACAACTTTGTAATCTTTTGCATTTTAAGTGTACAGTAAATTAAAGTGGTGTATAATTTAAACCAAAGACAACTGAATGTTGATACTCGAATGTCCTGCTTCTTCTTCAACATTATGTGTAAAGACAAAAAAAAGCATACAACAAATACCGTTAAAATCTAGCTGATTATCCACAAACAGCTTTTAAGACCCCGACAACAAAAAGGAGCAGAATTTCCTCCAATCATCTTACCTCTTCAGATGTCTTTCTTCTATCAGGGAGGACCAGAGTATTAGCATGACTTCCTGGGACTATAGTAGATCCAATACTCATCCTGGGTCCAACTAACATGTACCGTTTGTCTCCAGATCTGTACTGGATGCTGTGACACAATGTTCCATCATAGTTTGGCTCTGGTAGATATTTAGAAGTATAGTCTGTGGACTTGGAGCACTGCATTGCAATCAGCACAATGATACTGATGAGAAAAAGAGCAGAAACTGAGGCCAAAGTTATCATCAGGTAAAAAGTCACATCATTGTCCTCATCTGCTTTGGTTGAACTTTTCACATCAGAAGCTGCAAAAGCTTCTTTGGGCTCCACAACTTTGACAATCACAGTAGCTGTTGCTGACAGTGAAACGTTCCCATTGTCTTTCACCAGTATGACCAGTTTATGCTCAGCCTCGTCTGTCTCTGTGAATGGACGAAGTGTTTTGATCTGTCCTGTATATCGGTCCAAATTAAACAGACTGTGGTCAGAAACTTCCTGCAGTGAAAACAGTAACCAGCCGTTATATCCTATATCAGGATCATAGGCTCTGACTTTAGTCACCAAGTGTCCTGCGTCCACATTGCGGGGAATCTCCTCCACACCTTCAGCAGAACCATTAGAGCTGAGTGGATACAGAATGACTGGAGGATTGTCGTTCTGATCCAGAATGAACACGTTCACTGTGACGTTGCTGCTCAGTGACGGACTTCCTGAATCTGACGCCACCACGTGGAACTGGAAAGTTTTCATTTTTTCAAAATCAAACGTTTTATGTGAAACGATGTCTCCATTTTCAGTGTTAACGTTTAAAAATGAATTCACTGACGTTTCTCCTCCCTTCTCTCTCAGAATATGATATGAAATTAGCGCATTACTTCCCTCGTCGTTATCGCGGGCCGTAACTGATAGAATAGACGCGCCAGGGGCGTTATTTTCAACAATATAGAAAGTATAAGGATTCTGTGAAAACAAAGGACTATTATCGTTTACATCTGACACACTTATTTTTATAGTCTTGTAAGATGACAGTGACGGCTCACCCGTGTCTTTAGCAATAATAGTTACATCGTATTGTGATTGTTTCTCTCTGTCCAAAAGCATTTTAGTCACTAGAGAATACATATTATTTTGCAAAGATGGGCTGAGGAGAAATGGAACACCCTGGTTGATATGACATACCACTTTTCCATTGAGTCCCGCGTCCAAATCCTTGACACTTATCAAAGCCACTGTAGTACCGGGTTTTGAGTTTTCTGGGAGCGCATGGGAGAAAGATGTCACTTCAATTTCTGGTGCGTTGTCATTGGCGTCAACAATGTGTATAATGACTGTTTTGTCCGTTGTCAGTGTTGCCGCACCTTTGTCTGATGCCTGGATATCAATCTCATATCTGCCGCTTTCTTCAAAATCTATAGACCCAGACACACTAATGATGCCAGTGGAGGGGTCTAAGTCGAAACGGGCTCGAACTCGCGCATCCACGTCATTACCAAAAGAATAAACAACTTCACCATTTGACCCTTCATCCATATCTGTGGCATTGACTTGTAATACAGTTGTTCCAATTGGAGAGTTTTCCTTTAAATGTGCATGATATGAATCATCTGCAAACACGGGAGGGTTATCATTAACATCCGAGACATCAACTATTATTGTCATGTTTCCGGACCGCGGAGGTTTACCCCCGTCAGTTGCAGTCAGAATTAATACATGCGACTTGACGGATTCTCTATCAAGCGGTTTCTGGAGAACTAAACTCGGAGTTTTGCGGTCCTCGCCGCGATCTTTCACCTCTAAACGAAAATGTTCATTTGGACTCAACGTATACTGCTGAACAGATAATAGAGCACTGTCAGCATCCCGCGCAGCTTGTAACTGGAACTTTGCTCCTGCTAAAGCAGATTCAGAAATGTCCAATATCTTTTCACTCTCTGGGAAGCTTGGTGCGTGATCGTTCACATCCAGTATCTCCACCGCTACATAGTGCACCTCAAGTGGGTTTTCCAAAACGGTTTTCAGGTCGATCACGCAGACCTTACTGCGGTCACATTCCTTCTCTCTGTCTATTTGTCGGCTAACATACAAGATGCCATCCTCGTTGTTCATCCGAAAAGGCGGCTCCGAGGAGCTGTAGACAATACGGTAGCCCCTGTCTTTCAGTGTCGTCTTATCGAGACCCAAATCCTTTGCAATATTTCCAACAAATGTTCCTTCTTTCACCTCCTCATCGATGGAATAACGGATTTGTGCCAAAGCTCTGCTCCAAAAAATGATCAAAACCATTACATAGACAAGCCACACTGTCTGCGCTCGCTGCACAATATGTCTCCTTTGTTCCATGGCGTAATAAATGGCAAGAAAATAAAAATAAAAAATCTTACATCAGGCTATAGGTCCATTAGTAGGTGGAATAAAAATGAAAATAAATCCTTCGGCTTCACCCACTGTCGTGAGACAACCCAAATATGTAGTGAAACTGTGTACTCGCTTGAGGGAAGATGCTCGTTTTAAGACCGTCTAAAGGAAAAGGGGGGTGGAGCTGAGAGCCGTGACGTTAACACGTCAGCGGTTTATCTGGTATGGTTGTACCGACACCAAGTGATAAAGACTGACATTGCAATCCTAGTTTTTTAGTAGTTAAAAATAATGAAGAAAATAAGTGAAATGGACAGCGACTTTCACGCTAAGGGCAAATGAATCATTAAAAATGTATGCGGAAAATATTTTATACATTATTTTTGATACATAATTCTCTATATATAATTCTGTATGAAGGTATTGCTGTCGTGTATGTGAAATTTTATTTAATTATTGTAGGTTACAATAATTGTGAAAGGAAAATACCTAACTTGCATATCACATGCACAACAAACAGACCATACAAAATCATCAAACTGTGACTAAACTGTGACACTTTCACTGGGCTTCAAATCCAACTTTCTTTTCATTACAACAACACGCAATGTATGCAGTAAGTATTAGACTGAACAATGAAATGGATGACCTTGATGAAGAAAAGGGTTTCCAAAAACGTCTTACCTCCTCAGATCCCCCTCTCCTATTAGGAAGCATCAGTGTATTTGCATGACTTCCTGGGACTATAGTAGATCCAATACTCATCCTGGGTCCAACTAACATGTACCGTTTGTCTCCAGATCTGTACTGGATGCTGTGACACAATGTTCCATCATAGTTTGGCTCTGGTAGATATTTAGAAGTATAGTCTGTGGACTTGGAGCACTGCATTGCAATCAGCACAATGATACTGATGAGAAAAAGAGCAGAAACTGAGGCCAAAGTTATCATCAGGTAAAAAGTCACATCATTGTCCTCATCTGCTTTGGTTGAACTTTTCACATCAGAAGCTGCAAAAGCTTCTTTGGGCTCCACAACTTTGACAATCACAGTAGCTGTTGCTGACAGTGAAACGTTCCCATTGTCTTTCACCAGTATGACCAGTTTATGCTCAGCCTCGTCTGTCTCTGTGAATGGACGAAGTGTTTTGATCTGTCCTGTATATCGGTCCAAATTAAACAGACTGTGGTCAGAAACTTCCTGCAGTGAAAACAGTAACCAGCCGTTATATCCTATATCAGGATCATAGGCTCTGACTTTAGTCACCAAGTGTCCTGCGTCCACATTGCGGGGAATCTCCTCCACACCTTCAGCAGAACCATTAGAGCTGAGTGGATACAGAATGACTGGAGGATTGTCGTTCTGATCCAGAATGAACACGTTCACTGTGACGTTGCTGCTCAGTGACGGACTTCCTGAATCTGACGCCGCAACGTGGAACTGGAAAGTTTTGAATGTTTCAAAATCAAAACTCTTCAGTGCCATAATATCGCCATTGTCCGAGTTTATGTTGAGAAAAGATGTCACTTTATTTTCATGCCCCGTTTCTCTCAATATATGATATGTAATATGCGCGTTTTCTCCCTCGTCACGATCGAACGCTGCGACAGAAAATACAGATCCCCCCGGTTTGTTATTTTCGGTAATGTAAAATGTATAGGGGCTCGTGGCAAACTCAGGACTGTTGTCATTCTTATCTGACACCGACACGGTTATAGTTTTTTCGGATGTCAAAGCCGGTTCACCTGCGTCTTTGGCAATTATTGTAATAACATATCTGGACTGTTGTTCTCTATCGATTAGTGATTTGGTGACGACAGCAAACATGTTATCTTGCATCGATGGAGTTAGAGTGAACGGACCGTCTTCGGCAACGTAGCCGATTATCTTTCCATTCAGGCCAGAATCTAAGTCAGTGATACTGACAAGCGCCACTGTGGTTCCCGGTCTAGAGTCCTCTGAAACAGTATTTGACAACGACGCCACCTCTATTTCAGGAGGATTATCATTAATATCTCCTATTTTAATGATAACACTCTTATCGGTTCTAAATGGGATGGTTCCCTTATCGGAGGCTTGTACATCGATGTCATAGATGTCTTGATCTTCGAAATCTACATTACCTTTTACAATAATTTCCCCGGTTAAAGAGTTGATGTCAAATAACTCTTTGATTTTATCTTTGACGCTATCACCAAATGAATAAAGCACTTCTCCGTTACTACCGTCGTCCAAATCTGTTGCGTTAACCTGGATGACTGTTGTGCCAATTTTGGCATTTTCAGTCAGCGCTGCTGAATATGTTTCTCTGGTGAACACCGGCATATTATCATTTACATCAAGAACGTCAATGTAAATTTTTAATGTTCCATTTTTGGGTGGATTTCCTCCGTCTATAGCGGTCAGCAACAGCTGATGGCTGCGTTTCGCCTCTCTATCTAATTGTTTCTGTAATTGTAAAATTGGAGTTTTACCATCCCTTCCTCTATCTTTGATTTCAAGACGAAAGTGGTCATTCTGGCTGATTTTATATTGTTGAATGGAGTTTGAGCCGGCGTCTGGATCGTGCGCATTTTGGAGCTGATATTTTGCTCCCGGTAATGCAGATTCTGAAATTTCGAGCCTCTTTGTTTTTTCAGGAAACGTGGGCGAGTGATCATTTAAATCCAGTATTTCCACTGTAACATAATGCACTTCCAGCGGGTTTTCCAGGACAGTTTTAAGGTTAACTAGACACGCACTGCTATCTTTACATACTTCTTCACGATCTATTTTGCGGTTCGTATAAAGAACACCGTCTATCTCATTTACCTTGAAAAGAGGTTCAGTGGAGCCGAGCATAATGTGAAATCCCCTCTGCTTCATCACAGCCGGCTCTATTCCCAAATCTTTTGCAACATTTCCGACAAAACTGCTCTCTTTGAGTTCCTCTGAAATACTGTACCGCAGTTGAGATGAGGCCAACGGAAGAAAGGAAGCAATAAACAAGCTGGTGAGCAGTGGTCGCCATGAAAGCCGCGCTCTTTGTTTCATGTTTCCAAATCAAACCGCACCAGCACACACATAAACGAGTCCCTTTGTGTAGATTTTGTAGTCACAAAATAACAGACCCTCGTGTCTCCTCTGAAGGTATTACGAAAATTCCCAAAAATGTATCCGATGCTTATTTCTCACCGGTCAAACACATACTGTCTCGTCACCGTGACGGTTGAACACGGAGTGGGCGTCCTATGAATGCACACTAGAGTTTTTTCTAGTGATTAAGTACCGCCACCTTGTGATTGTAACCAATACTGCACAGCACCTCCACCAAAAATATTTCAATAAGTTCAATTTTATTGTGTGAAGACACTTTCTGTCAGTTGAATTGAAACCAGATTTCTTTATGTTTCAAGCACTGAAGTTGGAGTTAACACAATCATACTAAAGAGAAAATAACATTAATTATCAAACACAAAGCTATAACATTCAGCACCATGGACAGTTCATCTGTCAAAATGCCGTTTGTGGAAGGGCTATCGTTTATGAAGGTAACACAGTGACAACAATTAACTGCACATTTACCCTTTAGAATAAGCAACCTAAATATGTATCTATGAGTCAATGGTGAGCATTTACTCTAGTCTATTAAAAACAAATACTTTTTGAAAACAACCAAGCAAGAAATCTAAAAATAACATTAAGTTGTGTCAATGACGGGATATATAAATATTATGAACAACTCAAAAATGAATTGACCACTTCAGGCAGCACTCTTGTATTTGCTTTGTAAAGTAAACATTCACTTGCATATCTATGAACAAAGACCATGCCAGAGGAATCAACTTGAGTTTCCCAAAAAAACTTCTTACCTCATCAGCTGCTTTTCTTCTATCAGGGAGGACCAGAGTATTAGCATGACTTCCTGGGACTATAGTAGATCCAATACTCATCCTGGGTCCAACTAACATGTACCGTTTGTCTCCAGATCTGTACTGGATGCTGTGACACAATGTTCCATCATAGTTTGGCTCTGGTAGATATTTAGAAGTATAGTCTGTGGACTTGGAGCACTGCATTGCAATCAGCACAATGATACTGATGAGAAAAAGAGCAGAAACTGAGGCCAAAGTTATCATCAGGTAAAAAGTCACATCATTGTCCTCATCTGCTTTGGTTGAACTTTTCACATCAGAAGCTGCAAAAGCTTCTTTGGGCTCCACAACTTTGACAATCACAGTAGCTGTTGCTGACAGTGAAACGTTCCCATTGTCTTTCACCAGTATGACCAGTTTATGCTCAGCCTCGTCTGTCTCTGTGAATGGACGAAGTGTTTTGATCTGTCCTGTATATCGGTCCAAATTAAACAGACTGTGGTCAGAAACTTCCTGCAGTGAAAACAGTAACCAGCCGTTATATCCTATATCAGGATCATAGGCTCTGACTTTAGTCACCAAGTGTCCTGCGTCCACATTGCGGGGAATCTCCTCCACACCTTCAGCAGAACCATTAGAGCTGAGTGGATACAGAATGACTGGAGGATTGTCGTTCTGATCCAGAATGAACACGTTCACTGTGACGTTGCTGTTCAGTGACGGACTTCCTGAATCTGACGCCACCACGTGGAAATTAAACGTTTTGAGTTTTTCAAAGTCAAATGTTTTTAGAGCAGATATTTGTCCACCTTCAGAATTGATATTTAAGAAAGACGTGATTTCATTTCCATTATCTGTCTTCACTATATGGTAAGACACAGCACCATTCTCATTTAAGTCATTGTCAATTGCGCTTATGGAAAATATTGGCTTCCCAGGGATATTATTTTCTGCCAAATAAAAACTTAATGCATTTTGTTCAAAATGTGGACTGTTGTCATTAATATCCGATATCTCTATTTTAACAGTTTTAAGTGCTGTCAAGGGAGGTTCACCGCAATCCGTAGCTTTAATTATTACGTCATAAATTGAAATTTGCTCTCGATCCAAAATGCCTTTTGTAACCAGTGAATACATATTTTCTTTGTATGAAGGCTTTAGCTCAAAAGGCGCATCTGGATTTATGCTTACAATAATTTTCCCGTTAACACCGGAGTCTTTGTCTGTGACGCTGACTAGTGAAATAACAGTGCCGGGTTTTGAATCTTCAGGCAATGTATTTGACAGTGATGTAATTTCAATTTCCGGAAGATTATCATTAACATCTTTTATTTTTACGATGACTCTGCAACTTCCTGTTAGAGGTGGCTGTCCCCGATCTGACGCTTCAATGTCTACTTTGTAGGTTTCAGATTCTTCAAAATCCACAACTCCTTTAACTTTAAGTTCTCCGTTTGAGCCTAGCTCAAAAGTGTCGTAAATGTTTCGTCTCATCGTTTTACCAAGGCTGTACTGTATTTCCTGATTAATTCCTTCGTCTGGATCAGTCGCAGTCAGTCTGGTTACAATAGTTCCGACAGGAACATTTTCGTGGATTTCAACTTCATATACATCTTGACTAAACGTGGGACGGTTGTCATTGCTGTCGAGAACTATGATGGAAACGTTTAAAGTGTCTGATCGCGGAGGTCTACCTCCATCAATTGCTGTCACCAGTAAAAAAAGCTCATTCTTTTGTTCGCGGTCCAAAGACTTCTTTAACACTAAAAATGGTATTTTTTCTTCATCGCTTTGAGTAATTTCTATTTCAAAGTAATTATTGGACGTTAATGTGTATTTGCTAATAGAGTTTAATCCTGCGTCTGGGTCACGAGCTGCATGCAGTTGAAACCGAGTTCCTACGGATGTTTGTTCATAGATTTTAAATAAATGTTCGTGTTCAGGGAAACTCGGGGAGTTGTCATTTACATCCGTTATTTCAATAACAACGTGGTGCATTTCCAGAGGGTTTTCGATGAGGATTTTAAGCTCCATTAAACACGCTCCTCTGTTGAGGCACAGCGTCTCTCTGTCGATTTTCCTGCGGACTTGTAAAGCGCCATTGTCGGGGTTTACCTCGAAAAAAGCGTCCGTTGATCCCGACACAACACGAATACGTCGGTCAGTCAGAGAACCCCTGTCCAAACCCAGGTCCTTGGCAACATTTCCCACCAGACTGCCTTCTCTTATCTCCTCTGGAATTGAATATCTCAATTCAGCCACAGCCTCCCTGTCGACCATCATCAGCAACGAGAAATAAAAAACAAGCGAGAGACATTGCCTCCATCGAAAGCGAGTGTCGCTCCCCATCCTAATATGCACAAAAATGTCCTTTTCTTTGGAAAATTTGAAGCAGATGTCTCAACCTTTCAGTATTTCGTGTCATTTAGACACTATCTGCCGCGACGTCAGACCCAACCCGGTGGACAAGCGTAGTCTTTACTATTGTGCTAAACAAAAGCCCAGTCTGGGGAGGGACCATGCCTCTTTACAGCCTGGGTGGTGTAATAGTGACACCCAGAGGACATCATAAAAATTACTTAAAAGTAAAAGTGTCAAAACATCAGACCTGTGAAATAGGTTTTCTCAAATGAAAAAGACTCCAGCTCCAGTAATGCGATTTGCTATTTATATTTGGCAGCTAAACAAGTTGACAAGAAAGTGTAAATAGTGTAAAATAATGCTAACATAGTTTAAAAAGAGGACGAGAAAACATTCCACAATCTCCAACAATATTCACTGCTGTTCGCAGCACAACCCGCACTCGATTTCAGCTTCAGACAACATTAACACTTCAATGTCCAACATCACCTTCATCACGATGCTATGATGATGATGATGGCACGCATGCAAAAACATTTCAAACATGTTTGAGTACACATGCAAAAACATTTCAAACATGTTTGAGTCAAAGGAGTAAACAAATAGATGATCGTACCAAATTTGAATACCTAAAAACAACTTCTTACCTCATCAGCTGCTTTTCTTCTATCAGGGAGGACCAGAGTATTTGCATGACTTCCTGGGACTATAGTAGATCCAATACTCATCCTGGGTCCAACTAACATGTACCGTTTGTCTCCAGATCTGTACTGGATGCTGTGACACAATGTTCCATCATAGTTTGGCTCTGGTAGATATTTAGAAGTATAGTCTGTGGACTTGGAGCACTGCATTGCAATCAGCACAATGATACTGATGAGAAAAAGAGCAGAAACTGAGGCCAAAGTTATCATCAGGTAAAAAGTCACATCATTGTCCTCATCTGCTTTGGTTGAACTTTTCACATCAGAAGCTGCAAAAGCTTCTTTGGGCTCCACAACTTTGACAATCACAGTAGCTGTTGCTGACAGTGAAACGTTCCCATTGTCTTTCACCAGTATGACCAGTTTATGCTCAGCCTCGTCTGTCTCTGTGAATGGACGAAGTGTTTTGATCTGTCCTGTATATCGGTCCAAATTAAACAGACTGTGGTCAGAAACTTCCTGCAGTGAAAACAGTAACCAGCCGTTATATCCTATATCAGGATCATAGGCTCTGACTTTAGTCACCAAGTGTCCTGCGTCCACATTGCGGGGAATCTCCTCCACACCTTCAGCAGAACCATTAGAGCTGAGTGGATACAGAATGACTGGAGGATTGTCGTTCTGATCCAGAATGAACACGTTCACTGTGACGTTGCTGCTCAGTGACGGACTTCCTGAATCTGACGCCACCACGTGGAACTGGAAAGTTTTCAATGTTTCAAAATCAAAACTTTTCAGAGAAGAAATATGACCTGTCTCTGAATTGATACTGAGAAACGACGTTACGTCATTCTGCTTCCCCTCTCTCATGATGTCATAAGAAACAGCTGCGTTATCATTTAAGTCTTTGTCTGTTGCGCTTACAGAACATATTGATTTTCCAGCAACATTGTTTTCAGTGAGATAAAATTCTAAAGAAGTTTGTTGAAATTGTGGACTGTTATCGTTGACATCTGATATCTGAATGTTCAGCGTTTTAAAAGTTGACAAAGGAGATTCACCACAGTCAGTAGCTTTTATTGTGATGTCATAGTATGGCACCACCTCTCGATCCAAATATTCCTTTGTAACGACAGCGTACGTGTTCTCTTTATAGGAGGGTTTTAACTCGAAGGGAACGTCGTTCATAATTTGTGAAATTATTTTTCCATTAACTCCAGAATCTTTGTCCCGAACACTCAGAAGTGAAATAACTGTACCGGGCTTTGAGTCTTCTGACACTGTATTTGACAGAGATGTCACTTCTATTTCTGGCGCATTATCATTAATGTCATTTATTTTTATAATAATCCTGCACTCGCCTGTCAGTGGAGGGGTTCCTTTATCGGACGCCTCCACATCTAATTCGTATAGATCCCTTTCTTCATAGTCTACTGGACCCTTTATTCTAATCTCGCCAGAAAATCTGTCCAATTCAAAAATATCATACATCTGTCGCAACAGGGTTTTCCCAAGTCTGTACTCAACTTCTCCATTACTGCCCCCGTCTGCATCTGTGGCATTAATTTTCAACACAGAGGTACCTAGAGGAACATTCTCCTGGATCGAAATTTCGTAGGCCTCCTGACTAAATACTGGGCGGTTATCATTACTATCAAGTACAATAATCGTGACATTCAGCGTGCCTGATCGTGGAGGTTTGCCTCCGTCGATGGCAGTAACCAGTAGCGTGTGTGTTTTCCTTTGTTCTCTGTCTAACATCTTTCTAAGCACCAAAAATGGTATTTTTCCTGCATCGTTTTGACGGACATTTATTTCGAAGTGTTCATTCGAAGTCAACGTGTACGTACGAATTGAATTTACTCCAGCGTCGGGGTCATAAGCAGTGTGCAGTTGAAATCGCTTGCCTGGCAACGTGTGCTCTGCTATTTCAAATGTCTGCTCCTTTTCTGTGAAACTGGGAGAATGATCGTTCACATCAGTAATTTCTACAACTACGTAATGAATTTCGAGAGGGTTTTCTACAAGGATTTTGAGCTCTATTAGGCAAGCGCCGCTGCCTTGACAGAGCTGCTCTCTGTCGATGTGGCCACTGACATACAGAGCTCCATTATTCTGATGTACGTCGAAAATAGCGTCCTTACTATCAGACACGACACGAAACCGACGATCAGTCAACGAAGTGATGTCCAAACCAAGATCCTTCGCAGCATTTCCAACAACTGTTCCACCCTTGACCTCCTCGGGAATAGAGTATCGTATTTGCGCAAAAACATATTTTCCGAAAAGCAGCTGTAGCGCTAAAAACCACAGGCACCCGGAGCAGTTCCTCAGCTTTCCACCCGGTTCCATCCCTGTACAAAATGTACGTCTCAAGGAAGTAACAACAATCAAATACACGTATGTCAGTCCTTATTCCATATTTAAAGAACACAGACTTGATATCAACCGCCCGTGTGCCGAAAAAATGACTTCTTTCTTCGCATAGAGGACAAACAATGGCTCTGAGGGGTGGGATAAATATGGTTTTGGTCTCACTATTATACAGTGACACCCAGTGGATAAAACTGGTAAAGACTTGAGTAACAAAAGTCTTATTCGAAACTTCAAAATACTACTAATGTGAATATTACTGGTCCTGTTTAATGGGTTTTATTTCGATCGTTGGGTTTATATATTTTCCGGGGCCATATAAATATAACCAGGGCAATTTCTAACTTTATATACGTGTCTTGCTCTTTTAGTGAAATTTACATCCGACGTCAAGACAGCTACTGTGGCTTCGAAATGCATTCGTTTCAAATACCGCCCCGTCTTGCGAAAAGAACAAAACCTCTGTGGAGGGGCTGGGCCAAGAGGGTATGCTGATATAACACTGACACCTTGTGGTCAAAACCAACAACAACTATTCATTTATTTACCAAAACAAAAAATAAGAGATTAATTTAATTTTTCACATCAGAGACAAGGACTTCTATCAGCACAAAGGACAGCTCCAGTATGTTATCAAATCAGCAAAAAGGTTCAACGAAACCAATAAGAAAATAAAAGACAACAGCAAAAACGACAATTAAATACATTATCGTTTTTGCTGTTTTGCAGGTGAGGTGATGAGAAGAAGAGATTAGAATTGAGACAATGTAATTGTAAGATGAAGTGTAGATAATATTAAAATAAGGAGCTTACCTCCTCAGATATTCCCCTCCTGTCAGGAAGCACCAGAGTATTTGCATGACTTCCTGGGACTATAGTAGATCCAATACTCATCCTGGGTCCAACTAACATGTACCGTTTGTCTCCAGATCTGTACTGGATGCTGTGACACAATGTTCCATCATAGTTTGGCTCTGGTAGATATTTAGAAGTATAGTCTGTGGACTTGGAGCACTGCATTGCAATCAGCACAATGATACTGATGAGAAAAAGAGCAGAAACTGAGGCCAAAGTTATCATCAGGTAAAAAGTCACATCATTGTCCTCATCTGCTTTGGTTGAACTTTTCACATCAGAAGCTGCAAAAGCTTCTTTGGGCTCCACAACTTTGACAATCACAGTAGCTGTTGCTGACAGTGAAACGTTCCCATTGTCTTTCACCAGTATGACCAGTTTATGCTCAGCCTCGTCTGTCTCTGTGAATGGACGAAGTGTTTTGATCTGTCCTGTATATCGGTCCAAATTAAACAGACTGTGGTCAGAAACTTCCTGCAGTGAAAACAGTAACCAGCCGTTATATCCTATATCAGGATCATAGGCTCTGACTTTAGTCACCAAGTGTCCTGCGTCCACATTGCGGGGAATCTCCTCCACACCTTCAGCAGAACCATTAGAGCTGAGTGGATACAGAATGACTGGAGGATTGTCGTTCTGATCCAGAATGAACACGTTCACTGTGACGTTGCTGCTCAGTGACGGACTTCCTGAATCTGACGCCACCACGTGGAAATTAAACTTTTTTAATTTTTCAAAGTCGAAACTTTTTAGCGCAACGATTCCTCCATTATCTGAATTTATATTCAGAAAAGACGCCAGATCTTTGTGACCACCGTCCTCTCCCCTTATTTGATAGGAAACCGCCGCATTAGAGTTTAAATCTTTATCAAAAGCACTAACGGAAAATATCGGTGCGCCAGGAACATTGTTTTCTAACAAATATAACTCTAGTGGACTGTGTGGAAACTCGGGGGCGTTGTCATTAACATCTGACACGTCAATACTCAGAGTTATAATGGTGGAAAGTGGGGGCTCGCCACAGTCAGTCGCTGTTATTGATAAGTCATAGTGTGACACCGTTTCTCTGTCCAGCGCTGCTTTGGTCACTAATGAATACATGTTTTCTTTAAATGAGGGTTTTAATTCAAACGGTACGTCACCCGAAACTTTGCATATAACTTTTCCATTCAGGTTGGAATCTTTGTCTGTGACACTAATTAGAGAAACAACTGTTCCTTGTTTGGAATCTTCTGGGATCATGTTGGATATTGACGTCACGTCTATTTCAGGTTTATTGTCGTTTACATCTTGGATTTTTATCAGAACTCTACAGTCTGTCGTAAATGGGGGTTGACCCTTGTCTGAAGCCTGAATATCTAACTTATAAACGTCAGATGTGCCATCGGGGAGTGACCTTTGTCAGTGGCTTGAATATCTAACTTATAAACGTCAGATGACTCATAGTCAATTTGTCCTTTAACTATTATTTCACCTGTGTTTTTGTCGAGGCTAAACAGCTCGAACATTTTGGACTTATTGTCACCACTGAAGACATATTCTACTTCTCCATTAACTCCTTCATCTGCATCAGTTGCTTGAACCCGAGCTACAACGGTATCTAAAGCAACGTTTTCTTTTAAAACCACAGTGTAAACCTCACTCGAAAACGTTGGTCTATTATCATTGTTGTCGAGAACCTTTACAGTAAGATTAAGGTCAGCAGATTTTGGCGGTGTGCCTCCGTCTATGGCCGTTAAGACCAATCTATGATTTGTTTTTGTCTCCCTGTCCAATTGTTTTTGCAAAACTAGGAATGGGATTTTATCTTCTCCCCTATCACGAATTTCAAGATTAAAATTGTCGTTGTTCGATATTCTATAGCGCTGAATTGAATTTATTCCAACATCCGGATCGTGTGCTACAGGCAACTGAAATCGTGCCCCTGGTAACGTTGACTCGGCTATTTCAATAACCTTTTCTTTCTCAACAAAAGTAGGGACGTGGTCGTTTGCATCAGTTATTTCTACAGTAATATAATGAATCTCGAGCGGATTTTCGACCACGATTTTAACATCTAGTAAACATGTGATTTTATCGCACAGCCGTTCGCGGTCCAGATTCTTATGAACAGACAAAACCCCATTGTTCGGGTTTACCTCAAAAAGCGCATCCTGAGCTCCAGATACAATACGAAAGCGCCTGCTTATCAAGGTACTGACGTCCAGGCCCAAGTCCTTGGCCACATTTCCAATAACAGACCCCACTTTTACTTCCTCTGGAGTCGTATATTTGACTTGACCGAAGCTCAGCTCGGTGAAGCAGATCAGCAGGCAGAACGGGAGAAGACCCCGACAATTCATTATACCGTCGCGGTGTCCTTGTTCCTCTGTAGCAAAGTCATTCACAATAGCATCCACAAATATATTCGTAAATCAACAGAAATGTCCACAGATCAAAGCCAACCGTAAAATGCCATGGCGAAAACAGAAATATCCACAGATTAAAGCCAACCGTAAAATGCCATGGCGAACATTTGCGAGGACGACACCCTTTGTGCCTGAGCTAAAAGGAAACACCCCCACAACCGAAAAGAAAAGAGTCGTTTTCTTCGTGAATTTTTGCTGCAACGCTGACACCCAGTGGACTTCTGGGTGCTGTGCTGCAACTGCAAATGGTAAAGCACTAAAGCGCAAGTGGGAAAAAATCTTCCGTTTTCTTACTCAAATCGTTAAAACCTTATTCCATGGCCTAAACCAAAAACGACGACAGGACATATTAGTAGTAAATAAATCATGAAGACAACCCAAGTGTCAAGAGCAAAATAACACCAGTCATTCATATGACCATTTTATCCACCAATACATGTTGGCTAAAAAAAGACATACAGAACTTCTGGATTGGCAAGTGCAACACAGCTGAATTTAATCAGCACCATGGAGAGCGCACCATCGTGTACTTATATGTGCATTGATAAATAACGAATGCAACACCGCAATGTAAATACTCATTTAACTGCGTGGTCATTGGCACTACAAGACTGCACCGGGTATTTAATTCTTCTAATGGTAAAATATATCTTAGTACTTTTTTCTTGGGAGTGCAATAAAACACTATTGAAGTAGAAACTTAGCCTTACCTCTTCAGATATTCTCCTTCTGTCAGGAAGGGTTAGAGTATTAGCATGACTTCCTGGGACTATAGTAGATCCAATACTCATCCTGGGTCCAACTAACATGTACCGTTTGTCTCCAGATCTGTACTGGATGCTGTGACACAATGTTCCATCATAGTTTGGCTCTGGTAGATATTTAGAAGTATAGTCTGTGGACTTGGAGCACTGCATTGCAATCAGCACAATGATACTGATGAGAAAAAGAGCAGAAACTGAGGCCAAAGTTATCATCAGGTAAAAAGTCACATCATTGTCCTCATCTGCTTTGGTTGAACTTTTCACATCAGAAGCTGCAAAAGCTTCTTTGGGCTCCACAACTTTGACAATCACAGTAGCTGTTGCTGACAGTGAAACGTTCCCATTGTCTTTCACCAGTATGACCAGTTTATGCTCAGCCTCGTCTGTCTCTGTGAATGGACGAAGTGTTTTGATCTGTCCTGTATATCGGTCCAAATTAAACAGACTGTGGTCAGAAACTTCCTGCAGTGAAAACAGTAACCAGCCGTTATATCCTATATCAGGATCATAGGCTCTGACTTTAGTCACCAAGTGTCCTGCGTCCACATTGCGGGGAATCTCCTCCACACCTTCAGCAGAACCATTAGAGCTGAGTGGATACAGAATGACTGGAGGATTGTCGTTCTGATCCAGAATGAACACGTTCACTGTGACGTTGCTGCTCAGTGACGGACTTCCTGAATCTGACGCCACCACGTGGAACTGGAAAGTTTTATGCGTTTCGAAGTCAAAACTTCGCAGTGCGGTAATGTGTCCAGTTTCAGGATTTATATTCAGATAAGAAGAAATGTCAGTAGCACTCCCTTCTCGGACAATACTGTACGAAACCACGGCATTTTCATTGACGTCACTGTCTGCTGCACTCACGGAGAAAACTGATTTTCCAGCAACATTATTTTCTACCAGATAAAACTGTAATGGGTTTTGTGAAAATTGTGGACTGTTGTCATTCACATCTGATATCTTAACAGTCAAAGTTTTAATCGTTGACAACGGAGTTTCGCCACAGTCCGCGGCTTTTATAGTAATTGTATATTCTGATAGTAGCTCTCGATCCAACACCTGTTTAGTTATGACGGAGTATGTGTTTTCCTTATAGGAAGGCTGTAACTGAAAAGGTACGTCTGGCGTGATACTGGCAATAATCTTTCCGTTAACACCGGAGTCTTTGTCCCGCACACTCAGTAATGAAATAACCGTGCCAGGTTTTGAGTCCTCAGGCACTGTATCTGACAGTGATGTCACCTCTATTTCCGGCGGATTGTCGTTGACGTCTTTTATTTTGATTATTACCCTACACTCACCTGTCAGTGGGGGTGTTCCTTTATCGGACGCCTCCACATCCAGTTTATAAATGTCATTTTCTTCATAATCCACTCCCCCTTTAATTCGAATTATTCCAGTTGATTTGTCCAATTCAAATATCTCATAGACCCTTTTCTTCAGTGTTTTGCCAAGATTGTATTCAATTTCTCCATTAAGGCCCTCATCTGGATCAGTGGCATTGATTTTTAATACCTGTGTACCGACAGGGACATTTTCTTGTAATTCAGTCTGATAAACTTCACGACTAAATATCGGGCGATTGTCATTACTATCAAGAACAATGATGGAAACATTCAGTGTCCCTGATCGCGGTGGTCGACCTCCATCAACTGCTGTGACAATAAGTAAATGATGACTGGTTTGTTCTCTGTCTAACGACTTTTTTAGCACTAGAAACGGTATCACGTCCTCGTCACTTTGACGGATGTCTATTTCAAAGTGAGGGTTGGATGTTAACGTGTATGTGCGGATGGAATTAATTCCAGCGTCGGTGTCCCGAGCGGAATGAAGCTGAAATCGTTTTCCTGGCAGCGTATGTTCTGCTATTTCAAACGTTTGTTCCTTTTCGGGAAAACTAGGAGAATGGTCGTTGACATCAGTGACTTCCACTACTACGTAGTGGATTTCGAGAGGGTTTTCTACAAGGATTTTCAGCTCCATCAGACAAGCACCGCTGCCCTGACAAAGCTGCTCTCTGTCGATTTTCTTGTGAACATACAGAGCGCCATTGTCTTTGTTTACCTCAAAAAATGTCTCCTTATATTCAGCAACAACACGGAACCGTCGGTCAAACAAAGAAGCGATATCAAGGCCGAGGTCCTTGGCCACGTTTCCAACAACAGTTCCGTCTTTGACCTCCTCGGGGATGGAGTACCGTATTTCTGCCGAAGCCCATTTTCCGCAAAAGAGAAGCAGAGCCACACACGAAAAAAGACACACCAAGCTCCTCGATTGCGTTTGTCCTGCTCTGCTCCACATTTTCTGGCAAAATATATTTCCCAAAAAATCCGAATCTATTCCCAGCTCATTGTGTGTATCCCACCATTAGAGCAGGAGTGAAACCATACAAAGATTCAAGCCTGAGCGAAGAGCAAATGTCGTAGAGCAAACAAAAGCCAGTGATGGGAGGGTTTTTCTTTAGCTTCGTTTCTGTGGACCAATACTGACACCTAGAGGTCGTAAGATGCCAAATCATGTGCATACAGCACAGCTGATAGAAACATGGAGATGCTTTGGTAAAAGAAAATAAATCTCGCCTTAGTCCCATTACTGAAATAAACCAACAAAGCTTTCGGGTTATTCAGGACACCTTTATCCATCTAATGACATTATAAACGTAATTATTCCAAATTAATCTAAAATATAAAAAAGGAACACAAGAACCCAGTGAAATGTATTTCATTGACCTCTGAACAAGAACAATATTTCTCGACAGAGATATTAATCTGACTGGTGGCAAAATAACATTGTAATGAAAAAATATAACTACGTCTGAAATATAGGATAACTAATAGATAGTAATGTATTTTACAAATTTCCACAACTGTTTGTAGGTTTTGTTTTCATCATCAATACTTTAAGCCGATTTGTTGCAACTTGTTCCATGAGTATTTAACACACCGGTAAATACTTTGATACTTGAACATGGAAAAACAACAAGACATGAATGGCAATCAACACGCTGCATAGTTTAAGCTTCTTACCTCCCCAGATGTCTGTCTCCTGTCAGGAAGCACCAGAGTATTTGCATGACTTCCTGGGACTATAGTAGATCCAATACTCATCCTGGGTCCAACTAACATGTACCGTTTGTCTCCAGATCTGTACTGGATGCTGTGACACAATGTTCCATCATAGTTTGGCTCTGGTAGATATTTAGAAGTATAGTCTGTGGACTTGGAGCACTGCATTGCAATCAGCACAATGATACTGATGAGAAAAAGAGCAGAAACTGAGGCCAAAGTTATCATCAGGTAAAAAGTCACATCATTGTCCTCATCTGCTTTGGTTGAACTTTTCACATCAGAAGCTGCAAAAGCTTCTTTGGGCTCCACAACTTTGACAATCACAGTAGCTGTTGCTGACAGTGAAACGTTCCCATTGTCTTTCACCAGTATGACCAGTTTATGCTCAGCCTCGTCTGTCTCTGTGAATGGACGAAGTGTTTTGATCTGTCCTGTATATCGGTCCAAATTAAACAGACTGTGGTCAGAAACTTCCTGCAGTGAAAACAGTAACCAGCCGTTATATCCTATATCAGGATCATAGGCTCTGACTTTAGTCACCAAGTGTCCTGCGTCCACATTGCGGGGAATCTCCTCCACACCTTCAGCAGAACCATTAGAGCTGAGTGGATACAGAATGACTGGAGGATTGTCGTTCTGATCCAGAATGAACACGTTCACTGTGACGTTGCTGCTCAGTGACGGACTTCCTGAATCTGACGCCACCACGTGGAACTGGAACGTTTTTGTTGATTCGTAGTCAAAACTTTTCAACGCAGACACCTGTCCAGTCTCAGTATTGATGTTCAAAAACGCCACATTTTTATGACTGTTCTCTTCTCTAACAACGTGATAAACCAGAGCAGCGTTTTCATTTAAATCATTATCAGAGGCTGTTACAGAAAATATTGGCTTTCCTGCCACATTATTTTCCACCAGGTAAAATTCAACTGGATTATGCGAAAATTCGGGACTATTATCATTCACGTCTGACACCTCAATGCTCAGAGTTTTGAATGTAGATAAAGGGGGCTCCCCACAGTCGGTGGCTGTTATTTGGATTTCATAATGTGCCACTGATTCTCGATCAAGGCGACTTTTTAACACCAGTGAGTACATGTTATTTTGAAATGATGGTTTTAAATCGAACGGCACGTCATCTGAAAGACTACACACAACTTTACCATTTAACCCTGAGTCTTTGTCAGTGATACTTATAAGAGAAACTACAGTGCCCGGGTTTGCGTTTTCGGGAACCATCCCGGACAAAGATGTTACTTCTATTTCAGGCTTATTGTCGTTCACATCTACAACTTTAATGATGACTCTACAATCAGTACTCATCGGAGGCTGTCCTTTATCAGTGGCATAAACGTTCAATTTAAATATGTCAACTTTTTCAAAGTCAATATCCCCTTTAACCCGAATTTCCCCGGTGTTTTTGTGAAGACTAAAAATATTATACAGGTTATTGTCAATCTGGTCATCGAAAAAATATTCAATTTCACCGTTTATACCCTCATCTAGATCTGTTGCTTTTACTGTAATTACACTTGTGTCAGTATTTATATTTTCTGCTATCGTTACAGAATATTCCTCTTGGCTAAATACTGGGTTGTTGTCATTTATATCCAGGACTATAACGGTGACGTTAAGATTTCCTGTTCTCTGTGGATTTCCACCATCAACTGCTGTGAGAACGACTTCATGCATATATTTCTTTTCCCGATCTAGGGGCTTTTGTAAAATCAACAACGGTATTTTATCCTCTCTCGTCTCTCGAATTTGTATATTGAAATATTCATTTTGGTTTACTTTGTATACACGAACTGTATTGATGCCAATATCTGGATCATGCGCTATGGGAAGCTGGAAGCGTTTTCCAGGGAGAGTGGACTCTGGAATTTGTATTAGATGTTCTTCCACCTTAAATCGCGGCGAGTTATCATTTACATCAGTTATTTCTATAGCAACATAATGAATTTCCATTGGATTTTCGACGACCATTTTTAGGTTTAACAAACAGGGCGATACGCTCTCACAGAGCGCCTCTCTGTCGATGTTTTTATGAACGGACAGCACGCCATTGTTCTGACTTACTTCGAATTGAGCGTCCCCACTTGCTGAAACGATACGAAAACGTCTTTCCTCCAAAGAACTGATGTCTAATCCTAAATCCTTGGCCACATTCCCTACAACTGATCCCACCTTGACTTCCTCTGGAACCGAGTATTTGATCTGAGCAGAGATCCGCACAATGCAGCTCATCATAACAGATAAATAAAAGGCCACGCTCCGCATTTCCCCTTGCCTTGGTCCCATTTTTTTCAGACAACAATGATATTTCTGTCAAATCCAGTTCCGTCTCCTCATAAAAAAGCATTCAACCAAACGCATCAAAACACTGCAATAAGGTTTCATTTACATCCGACGTCAAGACAGCTACTGTGGCTTCGAAATGCATTCGTTTCAAATACCGCCCCGTCTTGCGAAAAGAACAAAACCTCTGTGGAGGGGCTGGGCCAAGAGGGTATGCTGATATAACACTGACACCTTGTGGTCAAAACCAACAACAACTATTCATTTATTTACCAAAACAAAAAATAAGAGATTAATTTAATTTTTCACATCAGAGACAAGGACTTCTATCAGCACAAAGGACAGCTCCAGTATGTTATCAAATCAGCAAAAAGGTTCAACGAAACCAATAAGAAAATAAAAGACAACAGCAAAAACGACAATTAAATACATTATCGTTTTTGTTGTTTTGCAGGTGAGGTGATGAGAAGAAGAGATTAGAATTGAGACAATGTAATTGTAAGATGAAGTGTAGATAATATTAAAATAAGGAGCTTACCTCCTCAGATATTCCCCTCCTGTCAGGAAGCACCAGAGTATTT